TTCCACATCGGCAAACTTTTTGATGTTACTTTTAAATATTGTTCCCTCTGCTTAACGTTTTACTCTTAGAAAACAAAAATATTTATTTTACATCTCTCTCCCCCCCCCCTCCCTCCCAAGATCATTATTAATTTTTTCTCGTTTCGCAATAATTATCTCTCTCTCTTTCTTTTTCTGTTTTGTTTTTTCGTCTTTCTATCTATCTCGTAGATTGTTTCATTTGAAAGATACACGTAACAAATATATGATCTCTTTTTAATATAATTTTGTTATGGTTTTAAACCTTTCGATGATGATTAATCGACACGTAATTAAGAATATGATATCTCCCAGTTGACAGGGAAGTCTCGAAATTTCGGAAATAGTTTGCTACTTTCGTACTATATCCATCGAAACGGAAGACCACCACTACCACTACTACCATCACTACCACTACCGGTAGATAGACTTTACCTGACTCAACTGGCTTCTCTGGTAATTCAAGAGGAAGCTTTGGACGCCGATGAGAGTTGGCTGATTGCGTGCCACGAGGGAGAAACCAAACTATCTATCTCATTCTTTCTCCCTTCCTCCCTTCCTCCCTTTCTATCTTTTCCTATATATATATATATATATATATGTATCCATCTTCCATGCTCCTTTCCCTTTAACTTTAACGAAGTTAACGGTAAAATCGTTCGACGAAACCATTGGTTATAACCAATGTCCAATGGGGATTCCCAATTGCTACGTTATCATTTTCTTTTTTTTTTTTTTTGTTATTTCATTTCAATTTTTCTATCATATAAATATGTTTGCACGCGTTAAACTTTTTCTCCTTCATTACTATGTATGCGTTCATTATTTAAGACAGGTTTATAAATAATATATTTTTTTTTAAATGAAACTTGTTCTTGTAGTTAAATTCTTTCATGATAAACAAGTATCATTATCTCTCTTTAATGTATTATAATAGATGTTTATTTATAAATGTTGATACTAATTAAAAATCTAACGTGGAAATATTACTCTTTGTTTTTACTAGTTTTTCTTTTTTTTTAAATAAAGAACAACGACAGTGTTGGATCTGATCTCTCATGTTAATTAAAAAAAATATATAACAAATTATCTTATCGTATTCCTTCAAGTATTGCAATTAAATATCCAAAATTAAATATAAAATAATTATTATATATTATAATATTAATATTATTATATTTTAATTATCCATTCACAAATAATAGAAAAACTTAAATGTTTCGATTAAAAGTATCTTTCCAGTCCTTTATATATCCTTTATATCCAATAACAAATTTTGGATCTGATCTCATGTTAATTAAAAAAAATATATAACAAATTATCTTATCGCTACTGCGCGTTTCTTCAAATATTACAATGAAATCATATTAAAATAATATGCATAAACTTAAATGTTTCGATTGAAAATATCATTCCAGTCTTTTAAACGTATTCTTACAATAACAAATTGTTAACCATAAATATACAATTTAAATCTTTAACGATATGAAATAAGAAACACAGATATGTATATTGCGAAAAAGTAGTTTAAAATGATCGGGAAAGAAAGAGAGAGAAAGAAAATCGATTATTTCAAACGTCAGTGATGCACCTGCACGACAAAACGCATAGACGGTTAGTTACTCTAGCCTAGTCCAACGTGATGGTGTTGGTGATGGTGATGGTGGTGGTGGTGTCTCTCTTCACAATGGAACGGGTTGAATCAAAGGAGGACATTATTCCCGGACACGTAGGAATACTCTGAATCCCACGTGCAATAGAATGCGGCCATTGTACCGAACGTTACAGTTGCCGAGCATTGATTCCTAATCGACGCACGGACGTGTATAGTGTTTCTCCCTTCACACCTATCTACCTACCTACCTACCTACCTATCAACCTACCTGCGTGTACGTACATCCATACATCCTATGAACTTTTGATACAGTACACCAAAAAATGAATTTTAGTTATACGAAGTGATATTTCCATTCAAACAAATTCATTTCTATATATATATATATATATATGTGTGTGTGTGTGTGTTACGATGAAATTAAAATAAAGTAAGAAGATACAG